GCATATAGTGACAGTTTCACCTCTTCTCTTCCAATTTGGGTCCCTTTGATTTCTTTTTCTTGCCTGATTGCTGTGGCCAAGACTTCCAGAACAATGTTGAATAGAAGTGGTGAGAGTGGGCATCCTTGTCTTGTTCATGTCTTGCATATAAAAATAGACAAAAACAAACTTCTTCTGTATAGCACAGGGGACTATATTCAATATCATGTAATAACTTTTAATGAAAAAGAATATGAAAGCAAATGGATGTATGTATATGCATGACTGGGACATGATGCTGTACACCAGAAATTGACACATTGTAACTATACTTCAATAATAATAATAATAATAATAATAAACAGAAAAAAAAGCTAAAAATCTGCCTAACTTAAAAAAAAAAGCCAGTTTCTTACGTGACTTTTTGCCAGCTCTATCTAATGCAAACTTCTCTGGGTCTGTTTCTGAAGAAGATTGAAATGAAAGTTTTGGTCTGCTCTCTAAGTTAACAGCGTATATGTAATGTTAAATGTGGTCTTTTTCACGTACAGGCTGGAGCCAATGTCCTTCTCCAGGACGTCAATGGAAATATCCCACTGGATTACGCCTCGGAAGGGACAGAATCCAGCTCCATCCTGTTGACCTACCTGGATGAAAATGGTAGGCTGGCGCTTTGAGAAATTGTAGAAAGACAGATGAAGAGATAAATAGTAGAATTATCAGTGTGTCTGTTTTTTCGGCGTGCTTCCATGACTTCAGACGGACGTCCTTGCCCTAGCTTATGTGAAATGAGGTCTTATTTATGTAGCATTTCGTCGCTGCTTTAGTCAGTGCGATTCTGCAAGCCAGCAGAAATCTAGAGACCAACAATGAGGGAACATTTTAACAAGCATCCAAGGTCTGTAATTAGCAGGACCGGGTTTGTAATTATAATCTGTTCTCCACTGGGAGGCGAAGGGAAGTGAACCAGCACAGTTGAATTTTGGGTTAATGAGCACAAGGTCACGTGATGTGTATATTCTCTTAGGCTCCTCTGGTCTCTTAGGGATCACTTGCAGGTAAGTGAGGGCAAAGTCAAGGGCAGTTCGCACAGCATCCCAGCATCCGCTCTTGGGGACACTCAAACCTTGTCAGAAGAAGTCCCCATGATCATGGTGCCAGCCTCAAAGAATGAGACTGAGGCCCCAGATGTATTCAGTGACAAAGAACGTTTAATTGCACAGACCGAGTGTATAATTTCATGAGTAAGTCCAGCATCACTGAAGGGGGAGGTATTTGAAACCCTGAGTCCCATACAGTGTTAAACTCAAGATGTATGCCCTGTCTTTTTTTTTTTTTTCGTCTGTGATTGAGATATAAATAACAACAAAGAAATTCCAGTGCCTTCAAGTATGGCCTTTGGCCACAGAAGAAGATGAACGTCGGTAAGAGCCGCGCCTCTTAACAGCCGCGCCTGTGACTCTGCCCTCCTGCCTCTGCGCAAAGCCCGCACGCCTGTGTCACTGTTCCGGGTGCTCTGTGCCTCCCGAGAGTGCTTTAGCAAAGGTTCTGCTGAGGATGGCTTAGAGTAATAATAATTAGTACTTAGCAGCCATGAGCTCCTTAAAAGAATTGTCTATTAATTCTGAAGGCAAGGTGAGTGAAGCTGGTTATTGTCCGTGGAGAAGATGTGAGCTGAGCTGTGCTACTGAAGGTCACTGAGTCACGGCGGGACCACAGGCTGTGCGGTGGGGCCACTGGTTCCCGCCTCATCTCCCTCCCTCCTCCTAGCTGCTCCGACAGGAGGGACTTGGTGCTTTCTCACACCTTGTCACCTGTGACTTGTTGGAGACAGACTCCACTGCCTCCACAGGGGACAGGCTTAAAGCCAAGCACATTCCACTGCTGGAAGTTCATCATTTGGACCTTTGCCAAAACTTACCTGGGAGGTGGGGAGGGTAGAGCTCAGTGGTAGAGCGTGTGCTTAGCATGCACAAGGTCCCAGCTTCAATCCCCAGCACCTCCAATAAAAAACACAGAAATAAATAAACCTGATTACCCCCCCAAAAAAGGGCAAAAATAACAACAAAACTTAGCTTGGCATGCACAGCTCTGCAGCTGCGTGGCGAGCCTGGCTGTCTGTGGTTCAGCTGTGCCAGCTCTGTGTGATGCTTTCCAGCTCTTACTGTCCTGAATTTCTTTTTTTTTAATTGAAGTACAGTTGACTTACAACATTCTGTTAGTTTCTGGTGTCCAGCATAGTCATCCAGATATATACATATATACATTCTTTTTCCTTCTAGGTTATTACAAGGAATTGAACATAGATCCTGTGCTCTATAGTAGGACGCTGTTGTTTATTCTGTGTATAGCCATTTATATCTGCCAGTCATAAATTCCCAATTTCTAATGGCCGTAGTAATAACTCTCTCTGGAAGCTAAAATTAGGTATCTTTATTTGCAAAAGAATAAACTTTATAAACTTTTCCAACCCATCACAGGATTTTGTCCGATAAGAAAACTGAGGATTGGCCAAAGCAGTATTCCTGCATGTCAAGAAAAATAAGTGTATTCCTTTGAGAGGCTGATTTAAAAATGATTAAGGGGAAGAAATGAGGGGGAGATTCTGACTCTGAATGGTTAGGAAAAAATCTGTCGCGACGATGGCTGTCACAGTCAGTTTGTGAAATACATGTTTGCTGGAACAAATTCAATTGAATATCTCTTAAATTTTTAATTCTGTTTTCCATTTGTCACTGCTGCTGCCGTGGCCTCTGCCTTCCACCCATCTGCTCCTCCCTCAGCTCATTCACAATCTGCTTCCGCTTCTGCCCGCGTCCCTCCCGTTTATCTCAGCAGCTGCCACAGTTCCAGTAAATGCTGTCGAATTTCATTTATCCTCTGTCCCCCTTGGGGGGTGCACCTTTAGAGTCCTCCGCGGCGACAGCAATGGGCTGACAGCCTTAGAGACGTCTCATCTTCCAAGATGCGCATTTGTACTATTATCGGTGCACTGCATTCTTCTAACTAGGCAGCAGTCTTTGAATTTTCACTGTGCACCGTACAGTTTCAAATCGGAGTTCTTATCTAGCTGTCACCTCAGGGTGCAGGTGGCAGGAGGCAGGCCAGGTCACGAGCAGGACGATGACGTGGAAAGTCGCTGGTCACAGGCTCTAACTGCACTGTCACCGCCGTCGTGCGCGGTGCAGCCGGCACAGCAGGGAGCCTCGGCCCGCTGCCGAGCTCCCCGGGCTGGAAGACCAGGCCGCAGGGTTGTTCCCATGGGGCGTTGGATGCCTGTGAGGTCTCCAGGGCAAGGAAGGCCAGCTGCTGTTCAAGGACAGCAAATGCCTCTGAAGTGGGCCAGCAGCGAAAGCCAGCGTGGCCAGGAGAGCCCGAGGTGTCCAGGGCAGGAGCTCCCCACGGGAGACACACATCGGTGTATATTTTCAAGTCCCTGAAAAAGAAATAAAACCAAACCTTTCTTCTTTGCTCTACATATATCATCACCCAGTGCCTTTCCCCTTCCTTTCAAGTCCGTCCTTTCAGACAAAGATGCTCATGTCCGTTCTTCTGAGTTTCCAGTCTCCTCCACTGAGCCCGGGAAGGTTCAGCGTCCGCCCAGCTGATCCGCACGTCCCCAAAGTGACTGCCGCCGCGTGTCTGCTCTCCTGTGTCTCCCCTTCTCTCTGGGACATTCGATGCCCTCGACCACACTCTCCTCTGGGAGCTCTCACCGCCGTGTTCTTTCCGTCGTCCTCCTGCTCCTCTTACTTTCCTCCAGACGTGCTGCTTGTCCACCCAGAAGCCACGACGTGGGTCACCCCCGGGCTTTGTCCTTGGGAACCTCCCTTCATCACCCCACACACCGTTCCCGGCTCATCTCCCCTCCTTCTCGTGTTGTTCGCACCTGCTGCTCCCAGGGGTGCTCCTTCAGCTTACGTGGCTCTCACGACCGCCAGTCTTGTGTGTGCAGTTGGATTACATGTCTTTGCCTTGGGTGTCAGACAAGCTGAAATAACACGTCCGCAGAGACCTTCTGGTGCTTTCCTACTCTTCTCTATTCCATTCACCCACATCCAGGATCTCGAGGATCTGAACATCCCCCTTCCCCTCAACCCCACACTGAACTGCCGCCAAATCTTGCAGATTCTGTTTCCTTACATCCCTCTGCTATGTCCAGGTGTCTCACCAGTCATGCTGTCACTGCTGCAGGTAAAGCCCTGGCCTTTCTATCTTGGAGCAGCCTTGGAAACTGGTTTTCTTGCCCCCAGACTTAGCCCTCCCAGTGCATTTTTCAGCGGACTCCCTGGTGTCCACAAGTGACTTTGTATATTTCTCTTGCTTAACAAAGTTCGTTCAAAATGCTGTCCCTGCACCAATCCTTCCGAGTCACCCATCGTGAGGGTGGCAGTGACCCAGTTTGCCCAGGACAGTCCCATATTATGCCTGTGGTCAGGGTTGAGGAAGGAATTTGATAGAAGGTTCTAGTATCCTTTTGGCTTAAACTGGTTTATTTCTTTTTGCTAGAATAACTTTTTTTATTTGCCTGCTTAAGTCTTTTGCTTTCTTCAGGTCTTGGATCTCTTAGGAAGCTTACTGTGGAGACAAAAATTGGGATTAGATGCAATTCTAGGAGCTTAGAGAATCCTGCGGTAAAATCATGGGATGGGCCATTGCCATAGCTAATGATAAGACTGACTGTACTCCCAGTACAGGACGGATAACGGGAGTAAAGGAAAAGTTGAATTGTTACAGTTACCTTAAGAGGGAGAGGTAAGGAAAGCTAAGGTAGGGGTTCAGATTGACTTGAAGTACTAATGTAGTTTCAATTTTGCACAAGTATCTTGATATAATCAAATACAATCAGACAATAGTAATTAGTATAATGTGATAACTTGTGTATTTCAGAGATATGATTTGTTTCTTATGTCCTAAGTTTTTAAAAATTACTAAATTCCTGTCAAAATAATAAATTTATACAGAATATGTTTTTCTCAGAAAGCAGTATGAAAATAAAACATAACTTCTTTTATTGAAGAGGGGACTGGCCCTTACCCACAACGAGGTAGACTGTAGCCATCGTGGTCTGTTCCCAGGAGCGGCTTCAGAAACCTGTTTGACCAAGAAGAGAGGACTTTCCATTCTATTGTGTTACCAACAATCGACTTGTGCTTTTTTCCTGAATATATAACAAAAATCTAAAAGTCACATCTTATTGGGTATTATATTTGGTTCAACATTAAGTTTTACAATAATGGGAAACAATGTCATAATATTCCACTCTGACCCCTTCACAACAGTGACCAGAAGTAGGTTGTTTTCCCACAGTATATTGTGCTGTGACTGTGTCTGCAATGAGTGACACTTATCCGTTTTAATTTACGTCTTTCATCTTTGCGCCCTGTTCCTTTTTTTAATCACTCAATTTCCTCATTTTTTAATTGGACTGTAGTTGATTTATCATTCTGTGTTAGTTTCTGGAGTACAGCATAGTGATCCAGTTACACCTGCACACACACATACATGTACATACATGTATTCTGTTTCATTACAGGTCGCTACCAAACACTGAATGTACTTCCCTGTGCTGTACAGTAGGACCCTGTTGTTGATTTCTTCTGCACATAGAAGTTTGTATCTGCCAGTCCCAATATATCGCTCCCTCCTCAGTTTCCCCCAGTAACCATAAGTTTACTTTCTATGTCTGTGAGTTTCTTTCTGTTTTGTGAATAAGTTTGTTTTTGTCATTTTTAAACATTCAATTAGATAAGAGATAAAAAGTGCTCAGAAGTGTGGCTGGTTCCGAGCAAACACTTGCTGAGATGCAGATATCATCTCATCGTCATCTTCATCCCCCCCGTATCACTATTCCTGTTAGTGTCACTTGGAATGAGGTGGCTTATTTCCCTTAGTAAGCACCTGTTACGTCCAGGAACCAGAGCTAGGGACAGGGGATGCATCAATGCAGAGAGAGAAGCTACCGTGGAGATGACACTTCCGTGAGAGCTCAGATTGTAGTGTGTACTAGACAGACGTACAGACAGGAGGTGGGCAGACCTGAGCCTTCTGTGCATAAATCACCCCACCTGAGTGAAGCCAGGTGATTAAGTCTGCACTCAGTTTGAGTTTATGTCTCCTTCTTAACATTAGTAGTCATGAAATGGTCGATTGGAGCATCCTTTAAAAATATTTTGGGAACACTTTAGATAGACGAGAAAGTAGCAAAAATGGCAGAGAGATTTCCCAGAGACCCTTAACCCCATGTCCCCAAACAACAAAAATGAGCACAGCCATGGTCCATGAGTCCAAGTGAAGAAGTGAACATTGGTACAATGTTATTAACTAAACTACAGCCTTTATTCAGACTTTCCCCATTTTCCCACTACATTTTTTTTTTTATTCCAGGACAGTATATTGCTTTCTTGGAGCAACTGTTTTGACCAAAATATCATAGGGAACAAAAGCACGTCTTTACCACTCATGTCAGTTCAGTGCAAGCACCTCACAATACTTTGGGCAGTGTGTGCTGATGGTTTATACTGAACAGGTATCCACTGAGAGCCTGCCGTGTCGAAGGCATCCTGTCACATCTTTGGGATGTAATAAGAGGAAAATTATTCAAGACTCTAGCTGGGAAAAAGACTGTGTGCCAAGAGAAGCAATTATAGATGCTTTGAGTGAGAATTCAAAGTGAAGGAGGGGCTTCAAAGAGAAACAAGTTGAAAAATATAAGATAAAATGAAAATTTTACCCCCAGCAGCTGAGAAGCAACTTGATATTCTGTTTGAAAGTCTCTTTTCTCCCCCAGGAGTGGATCTGACCTCACTGCGTCAGATGAAGCTTCAGAGACCAATGAGTATGTTAACAGACGTCAAACACTTCTTATCTTGTGGAGGAAATGTTAACGAGAAAAACGATGATGGCGTGACACTGGTGAGTTACTGCACTCCCGTAGGAAATGCCGCTTACGTTGAGAATGTGCGTGGATTTCTAAAGCACAAAATTGGATGTAATTAACTTCTAAATAATTTTTAAAATTTTTCTGATCATAAAAGTAATACATATTCATCACAGAAATCCTGCAAATCACATAAATATGCAAAGAGGAAAATGCAAATTGCTTATGCTACCAAGCAGAGAAAACCAATGTTTATCTGTGATGTATTCTCTTTAAGCCTTCTTTCTATGTATGTTTTTCCTACAAATTCAGAATAATTTTATCCATTATTTTGTCAATGTGATTTTTGAGATGGAACTTACAGGAGGATGTTTTCATTTTAATTTTAAGCAAAAGAAACTGTGGGACACTCTGATGAATGAATCTCTAAATTCACGCAAACGCCTCTCATCACTTTTATTGCTATCAGGCGCAGTTGCAGTAAATCAAATACGTAACAATTAAATTTGGATTAATTTTAATGTATGTGTAATGTCTCATCCTCAAAATAAGAACATTTGGTCCCACTGAGCCATAAAAATTGCCTGGATCGGCCACGCGGGGTTAACAGTAATAATGGTGGAAATAAATGTATAAAGTCTCAGGGCAGTAAGCGAGGGCAGCTCTTCAGCATGGGATACAAAGAAGCGGTTGGAACCAATTTCAGAGAAGTGATTCCGTTTCTTCCACAGGAAGACAGTAGGTGAGGAAAGCAACTCAACTAAGTGGATGAGGGTTTTGTGAGACCCGATACCTTTGTAGATTTATCACATGCAAATTAAGTGCTTTGAGACTTCCAGCTAGACCTGCCTTCTTAGATGTTGATGTTGGCCTTGGGAGTGTAAATTTCAGAAGGCTATGAAAAATGAAACTCTCAGCTATAAGAAAAGAGTTTAGAGTTAATTGTTAATGTTAATGTTAATGTTCAGAGTTAATTGAAAAATAACACGTTTAAATGGAAAAGTATTCTAATTTTTTTGATTAATGGTTTTTTTTTAAACTTTTTTAATGAATGAAAGATTCTTTAAATTCTATAGCGCTTTACAATTTTCAAAAGTTTCACACACACGATTTCCTAATTTATTGAGGAAATATTTATTGACCACAGCCAGTGAACAAAACCACAGCAGTTCTTTGGTCATGGGCTGACATTTCACCGGGGGAGGCATGTAATATACAATAAGAATGAGCTGAGCATATATTGTATTAATGGTGATAACTGCCAAGGAGAAAAACAAAACCAGGCAGGGACATGCTGGGCATTTGCTGACCTTTTGGGGTGGACAGGAAGGATCTCACTGACAAGGAGAGTTCTGAGTGATGATGTGAAAGGATTGCACTCACTGCACGTGTGAAGGAGGAGCATTCCAGCCTTCACGGTGGTGAGTGCAAAGGCCCTGAGGCAGGGCCAGGTGTGGTGTGATTGTTACACTAAGTTTAAGCCCTCGACCTTGAAATCAATGATTTGATACAGAAGGAAAGAGGATTTGGGACTGAGCCATGGAGATTAGGAAAAGGTGAAGATCCAGAGATGAGACGGGAAGGGGAACTCCCCAGGTAGGAGGAAAACCAAGAGAATGAGATGTTGCAGGAGCCAAGGGAAGGGAGTGTGACAATTATCTAGCGAAGAAATCCAGCTGAGATGGCGCCTCGGCCGCTGGGCTTAGTGACTAAAGTGGTCGGTCTTCTCATCCAGGGCAGCCTCCGGGGAGCCTGGGGTCAATTTAATTAACAGTTCACTTAACACATGAACTACATTAACCAACGCACGTCTTACACGTAGTAAAAACCAACCCAACAGAGTCTGTTTCTTTGTTTGGCAAAAGACCTTACAGCTTCACTAAAAAAAAGAATCACAGCTAAATAAAAACAGCTCACATGCTTCAGTCCCTGCTAAATAAAAGGACCTACATGCTTCAGAAGATAAGGTATTGGGAGAATCAATACACAGCAATAAATTCCTATCATTTTCAACCATCTTTAATTCTGACGCTGCCTCTGACCTTTTTTTATTGGACAGAGAACGTAAATGTGGCAAGGGTTATTCTGTAATGACTAAGCCCTGTGCTGATCATCTTTGAGCTCTTTACAAAGAAATCACAATGACCAGGAAGTGCACCCTTGATGATCACAGCACTTAGCAAGTGGCAGGTTCTTTGATTCTGAATTGGTCTTTGAGTCTGAGCTTGGTCAGTTGATTGCAGTGATAACTGCCACTCCTGGAGTTGTCTTTCTGAAAAAAGCATGTGTGTGGTGTGTTCCTGCCGGTTGGTGCTGACAGTGATAAGGAAGTCTTGTCCACAGGCCGGTTTCTCTATCCCGAATTGGAATGTCAGCCATGGCTCAAAATTAGCATCATGCCCCAGGCTGCTGCGCTATTGTGTGTGCAGAAGAGGTGATGCTATCAATGAAAAAATAAGAACGAACTTCTAGTAAGATGGTTTTCAGCTTGGTTTTCCTTCCTGTTGTAGAATATGCAATAAAATAATGAACAATAGAATATGCAATTAGTAAGGCCTTCCTTCCACCACGCAGGCACGCTGGGAGGGGGGAGGTGGACTTCTAAATCACTGGTGGTTCTCTGCAAAGTTGGCCAACATTTTCAGTCTCATTTTATCTCTGATTTTGACCTGTTACTCCTTAGTCTTGAGGAAGAGGTCGTCTCAGCTGTTCAGGGAAACTCGTTTCAGATTTGCATCTGTGGTCGCACTTGGAGAAGTGATGTCTGTTCTCTTCACCCTTCAGTCAGAAGTGAGATAGGAGAAGTCGTCTGTCAGCATTCTGGTATGCATAAAGATTAGGAAAGATCTGAAGTTAGAAGTTAAAAATCTGGACTGACCCTCATAGGTATCTGAGTGGCTGTTCCTCCAAGTGGATTTTCATTTTTTCCTACAGTTTTCTTCTGTCAGGGCAGTTATGAGGGTGTGTATGACTGTACACTCTGCTTTCCTGGGAAATGGGGATTCAGAAGAACAGCTGGTGAGGAGATGTGACAGACTCAGTGCTCACCCTGGGCTCCATCACTTTCTGGGTGTGACTTTTTCTCATTTCTTCAACTTTCTGAGCCATCATTTCCCCCCTCTTTTAAATTGAAATATGAAGATACATGCACCCCAGTATGCATAGCAGTGCTATTTAACAGTAGCCATGACATGGAAACAACTCAAATGTCCATTCACAGATGACTGGATAAAGAAGATGTGGTACACACACACACACACACACA